CTCCCCCCCCAATTTCCCGGCCCCACTACCCTGACGCTGCTAACCCCAGCCCCAGTTAGGCCAGGCTCGGACTCCCCTTGCCGCACACCTCCTCCCAACCCCCGGGATTGCATCTAGAACTAGTCTCTCCCTGTCGGTGACTCCCTCTTGGTCCTCCCCGCTGACCAACTCCCATTTACGTCCTGCCGGGCTGATTCTATCGCGCCCGATATTCACTGGTCCCCCTAGAAGCCGGTGTTTGTGTTTGTGTGTAAAGGGGGTCAGGAAGGCGCAGAATACTGACCCCTGAGTTGTGTGTACAAAGGTTTCTGTTGTTTTAGCTGCCTTTAGCAAACTCCCCTGAAAGAGCCCTTTCTACCTAGTATCTTGCTTCCTTGTTTCTGTAATTAAGTTACCCAAACGGTCCCATCTTTTTTTTCCCTCCTTTCCCTTCAAGCCCTTATTCCTACTCTTGTTTCTAAAGGGTTTAAACACATTACACGCTTTCAACTTTTTAGGGATCATCTTTGTTTGAGTTCCTAACACTCTCCCTCAATCTAAACTATACCCCAATCCCCGCATTTCTTTTCTCCTAGGTGCCTGTTCCCAGTTTCCTACCCTCCTCTTGTTCCTCCAGGTTCACATTTCACCTTTCCTACTTAGAGCATCCTGGCCTTGTTTGGAGTGGGTAGAGTAAGAGCTTCCCACTCTGAGCCTGTTGCTATTTGCCTAGTTCTGGATCAAGTGGGACTGGACTACTTCTTGGGTTTTCTCCCTGCTTACGTGCATGAGAAGCTAGCTCAAAAACATTGAGATAAGCCAAGGTATGCTTCTGGGTGCTGTTTTTGAGGATACGATAGGGCTGACTGCGTCAGCTCCTACTCTGAATAGGTTGGGTAACAGGATCAGCATCTAATAAAGATCTTTTTACCCAAAATAATGATAGCCGGTGGCAAGGGTGCCGCTCAGCATTACCTACGGGGTGTGTACATGTCTCTTATGAATACTTCATTTTCTTATTATAAAGTAATTCATGTTCATTGTAGAAATTTTGGAAAATGTGAGATGTCTAAAGTATAGCAGGGTGAAAAAAATCAACCATGGTTAACATTTGTTCCTATGAATTTTTAAGCTGCTCTCCTGTAATTGAGATCGAGTTATGTGTCCAGTTTGGAACAGGCATAACTTAATACAGATGATCTGGTGTGCTTTTATTTGACATATCCACAAACATGGCATTCGATTTATTCCAGAAACATTTATTGAATACCTGATATAGTGGCTAAGAATACAAGCTCTAGAATTAGTTTCATCTCTGTCACAAGAGTAATAGCATCTATTTCATTGGGTTGTTGTGAAGATGAGGATGCTTACAACTGTGCCTAGCACACGAGGAACAC